AGTCAGGAAAACAGAGCTCCGTCACAGGGATGGTTACTGAGGACTCATAGTCCCCACTTTCTACTCTGGGAAAAGGGGAATAATGCCCAGTGAATAAATCACCAGAAACAATAAACACCAAGCTTCTAGCCTGGCACTTGGAGCAAAGCAGTGACTGAATACCTTAGGCTGCTTTCTTATTCCTAAAGTGACAGAATCAGTAATACAAGGGAATTCAAAAGGACCACAAAATCCAATGACTTTGCTGGAATCACAACCCGCACGTAACCTGTAGCCACCGCCCGACCAAATCCAAAGTAAATCTTTTTATCTTCCTGACAATCGTTCGATCATTCCCCAACAATTCTATCTGAGGTCAAACAATCCATGCTCTCTCTGCCCTTCCTCACCTGTCGAGCATTATTATAATTACTCTTTCGTTCATGTTGTTTCTTTTGTTCTCTTTCAAAGTATGGGGCCTCAGACTTGATATTTCCCTGGGATAAATAAAGAGTAAGTACCCTGCTTTTATGGGGGATAATTGTGAATTTGGGGAGTATAGCACAGATGGAGGTTCATTTATTCAACAAATATTTTTAAAGTGCTCACATGTGCCTGACTGTATGTCTGCAAGGCTGGTGGGGTTGGAAGCCTTTCCCTTTAACCATGTGGGCCTTCTTCTGCAAGCCCAGCTGAGCAGGAGAAAGGCAGGCAGCGCACTGTGTAAATTCCTGCATTGTGGCCAGGCAGACGGGAGGCTAATGGCCGTAGCGTCCTTGGGAAGCACCAATGGGGCCCAGAGTAGCTCTAGAAGTTTTCTCTTAGGGAACTTTGAGGTTTGTCTTGTGCTGAAGTCTTAAGGTATGAGTCATAGATCCATCTGAGACAATAAACAAATCTTTGAATCTTCTTCACGGAAGAAGACCCCTGCTAAGTTCTCCATATACCTGCAGGGTGTTCAAGGACCCTCTCTGTCTACCCTGGTACACAATAAAATTTCTGTTTATTGTGGTAATTAGAGCAAACTAATGCAGATCCCAAAAGGAAGTTCTGTAAGAAAAGAAAGGGGGATGGAGATAGGAGAAGCATTTGACTTTAGGCTGCAGTGTCAAAGCTCTGTGAAAGAGACATAGGAATTTAAATTCATTTTAAAGGCAGTAAAAATAAAACACTTGCTGGCCCTCTCTGCAGAGGTCTTCCTCACAAAACCCCTGTCTTCGAGAGGAGTCTTGACCGTGAGACTGGCTATCACAGAAGGGAGCGAGGTGGACCACTGTTAAGCAGCTGTCTGTCCTGCCTTCTTTGCCACAAGGTGAGTGAGATGGGGAAAGGCGAAGGCACAGGGAAGCACAGCTCTAGCTGGTGTGTGCTGAACATCTGTCTCACAAGCCAATGAGATCCTGAGATCTGAACCGCAGCGTGGCTTAGTCGAAGTCACTTAGACACAAAGCCGATGTAGCTGCTAAGCAAAGCTCGTGAGCTAATTTTTTAGCCATGTTTACTGAGGAACATTACATTCAGTTGTGGGAAACACTCAAGAGGTCCAAGAACAAATGCAATTTTCCCGAAAAAGAGTGGCCAGGCTGATGGGAGGACTAAGAACTAGGTCAAATGAAGAACAAAAGAAAGGAATTGAGGACATTTAGTTTAAAAACAGAAGATGGTGGAGAAGATTCTAGAGAAAATGGATTGCACCCCTTCTAGGGGGGCTACCAGGGCTTGTGATGGAAGCATCGGTGGGTGAAATTTTCACTAAATATTTATACTTAAATTTACATTCACATTATGTTTAATATTAAATCCTAATTAAAAGACAGAATTTCCTAGCCCTCAGAGTTACTCCTTGAGGGAACCCCCTTACTAAAGGTGCTTTAAGCAGATACTGGTGATACCTTATCAGAATAGTGAGGAGGAAATCTGTTGTTGTCCGGGGTGTGAGGCCGGTAAACATTTTTAGTAACGTAACAAAATCCTTAAAGGAACCCTTAACATGACAGTGGTGTTTATTAGTCTAAATTGATTTTCTGTTGTCACATAAAGAGCGTTTAATCTGTATAAAGCCAATCACTGTAATGGTGAGGCTTTTCTGATGAACATAAAAAAATTGAGAATCGGGAACATTTACTTATCAACTGCTAGTAAGTAGCTACTCTTTGGCATTGGAGAGACAACATAATTAAATATCTTGGTCTGCTGGAGAAACTTGATTAAAGGAGACAGACAATCAATAACTACTTCCATAAATTAGGGAATTTTAAGCGCTATGAAGAACAAGTCACGGCACGTGGTGGAAAGTAGGTGGCTGTGAGTAGACCCAGTCACGTGGGTGTTCTGGGACAGCATCTCTTAGGAGTTAACATTCGAGGTGAAACAGAGGGACAAGGAGGCTCCTGAGCGTGAACATGGCAGGCAGAGGATGTGGATGGACGAAGCTACGGTGGAAATGAATGACTGTGAGTGACAGAGGGACAGCTGTGCTCTTGCCCCGCAGAGCCAGAGGGAGAGAGGGGCAGGGAGGAACCGAGCACCGAGGGTCCGACACCCTAGCTCTTCTCCAACTATTTACGGTGAAGAACTTTAAAAGAGTTTCAGCTACAGGCCAATACACCATCCAGCGTGACTAGTTTGCAGCATGTGCCCCAAGGTCACCACCATGCAAATTTGACAGCCCGCCAAGCCCCCAGTGGGACCCCGTCTTCCAGGAGATGAGTTCACTGATCACGTGCTTGGCATTGTGGCAATGTCCAATTGCAATGACAGTTTCTGAGTTCTGACTTTTGCTTTCTCTCCTTGCAGTTCGTACTCTGATGCAGACCAGGTGCATGAGTCTGTGGCTCCCTGAACCACGTACAGAGTGGTGCCCAGAGAGGACCTTGGGTTTTACGCTAAATGCAGTGGGAAGCATACACAGGAGAGGCGGGGAGGAGAAGAATCGAGGACCCATTACAGGACTGTGGTGGCATTCTTTGCTAAGATGGACATGACTTATGGAGGGACAAATTTGGGAGGAGACCAAGGCTTCCGCTTTGAACACATTAAGGAGAAGTGTCTAGACATCCAAGTTAGGAAACAAGGAGGAAGTTAGATACAAGCATCTGAGGCTCACAGCTGAGGTCAGGGTCAGAGCTGTAATGTTGGGGGTTATCACAGCCTGAATCTAAAGCCACAAACTGGGTGAGCTATTTAACAAGTGTTGTTCTGAAAGAAATGACACCCCAAGACTCAGACCTGGGGGTGTTCCGATACGAGAGTGGCTGACTCCATCCGTGAATGTCAGCGTCTAAGACCTCTGAATTGAGTGCTATGGAACCAGAGCATCACAACATGTAGACTTAAACCCCAAAGGATCACAAGGTTGGCATAAAGGGGGTCGATAAGTACACATGGAATGAGTGAATGAGCTCCGAGACACCCTTCCAATTCTGAGATATTGAAATTTGAGTATTATTTAAGTTTCACAGCCATGACATAGTGGGTTGAATGGTGGACTCCGAGAGGCTGTTCTGGGCCTCAGAAATTATGAATGAGATTTTATTTGATAAAAAGGTCTTTGCGAATATAAGATCTCAAGATGAGGCCACCCTGGATTATCCAGCTGGGCCCTAAATCCAATGGCAAGTGTCTTTATAAGGGACACACAGAGGAGAGACAGAGAGGGGAATGAGGCCACAAGACTGTGGCAGAGGTTGGAGGGAGGCCGCCACCAATCAAAGACACTGAGGAACGGCGGCGGCCCCCAAATACTGGAAGAGGCAGGAAGAGTGCTCCTCCAGAGTCTATGGAGAGAGCACAGCCCACAGACACAGTGAGTTTGGACCCTGACCCCCAGAACTATTATTTTAGGCCACTCTGTATGGGGTAGTTCATTCGGGCAGCCCAGGGCAGCTGATGTATGTGGATATTGTGGCTGACTCTGTTCCAACATTTCCTCTGGAGCTGTGTTTTATTCTAACCCAGTGACAGTCAACTCTGCACATTAGAGGGGCCTAGAAAACCTATTAACCAGGCTGAAGTCTGGTTCCCACGCTCAGAGATTCTGCTTCCCTGGGACTGGGGTACAGACTGGCTCTGGTGTACAGTCGGAGTGGAAAACTATCATTTCATCGATGACAACAACTCAATGTCATGGGGTGGCACAGAAGTACATGGGGTGGCCACAGCTATATCGGAATGGCTGAACCTTGGGAAATCGCTTTGGAAATAACATGCCGTATCTTTACGCCCTGATGTTAAGTGTGCTGAGGAACTGTGTGGGCCAGCTTCATGTCAGAAGTGTGTGCAGGCGCAGCTGGGGCCCAGGCCATCCTGTTTCTACCCGAAGGGGTAGAGGAGCTCCCCTCGCTGGCCCCAAGGCACTAGGGGAGGCATTGCTTTCTAGATCAACAATGCTTAACTTGACCATGAATCGAAAGATGTCCCTTGCAAGCCCTTGATCCAAATTGTTTCACTGCCCTCCTTACAGTTAGATAACGACCATTTTGAATTTCTGGTTGCATGGTACTTCATGTAATTAACACAAATCTGCAGGTTGGATGTGCTGAATGGGAGAAGAGTGGGTTATTATTGGGAGGAAAGAGGTTCCCTAATAGAGGGACAAAGCTGTTCCTTGTGCGTCAGCCCTAAATAAATGTTTCTTTATTTCCGAAGTCAGGCTGCCTGCTGTAGTGGCCTTTCTAGTGCGTCAGGGTGCAGTCAGGAGTGAATTGTCATTCGCCACGCATGCTTGTCTGTGAGGGGCCTTTGACAAGGAGCTCACTGCCTCTATTGACTCCCTGGGAAGTCTGTGGTCACAGGCTTGGCTGGAGCACATGAGCCCAGTTAATGAAGATGGTTTTCCCCTGTTGAAACAAAGCCAGAAACTCTATCTACTTCATTGTGCACCTCCGGTCATGTGCTAATCATGAGGATTTCTCTAGCACTAATCCCCCTAATGATGGCTTCTCCCAGCCCTGACACAAACCCCACAAGGCCCCGTGGTTGGCTCTCAAGAAAGAATAAAGGCAGCCCGGTGTTTGGCTTTTGAACTGAGTTCAAGATGATTAAAGTCATGGGCTCAGGAGGCAAGGAGGGGGTTTAGAAACCCCAGCATAGCCAGTGGTATGGCTGGAGTGCTCTGCAAATTAACTCCATTAGACGAAGCCTGATGTAATGGGGAAAGAGGGTGAGAAGCACTGCCCTCATTAAGTCCGGCTGCTAGAGGTGCTTCTAATACAATTAAATTTGCTTTAGTTGTTTGGATCACATAAAATAGCCGGTGTGTGTGCATGTACCCACGTGGATATGCGTGGGTTCTGTGATTTTATGGGCATTTTTTAAAGAGGAGAGGAACAGACCACAAAACAAAAATAGATGAGAAAAAAATTGAAAACTGAGTGAATGCTCAAGCCCTCCAGCGGAAGACAAGAAGAAAGTGGTCTGGAAGTAGTGGAAAGTGAGCAGAAGTTCTCCTGATTATAAAGCCATGAGCCCCCTTCACTGGGGGCTTCTGCTCAGCTGCCTGGGCTGTGCGGTCCTGCCCGGAGCCTGGGCGCAGTTCCCCCGGGTCTGCACCACAGTGCACAACCTGGTGTCCCAGGAGTGCTGTCCACTGCTGGGTGGGGACCCGGCCAATGTCTGTGGCTCTCGGGAGGGCCGTGGGCAGTGCACGGAGGTGCAAGCCGACACCCGACGCTGGAGCGGCCCTTACACCATTAGAAACTGGGATGACCGAGAACTGTGGCCACGGAAGTTCTTCAAACGCTCCTGCAAGTGCACAGGTGAGGGAGGCTTTGGCGGGGAGACCTGGCCTGCTGCAAACTTAATGGGGAGGGCCCAGCTGGGGAAGGACCCTCTTCTAAGGAGGAGATGTGGCTACTGTGACCGTTAGACTAGGCAATGAAAGGCAAACCAAGTTTGTTTCTTGTAGGAGGCCAATTAAGTAAGGCTGATGTCTTGGTTATGTTCTTCATACCCGCTAGTACGTGTAGTTATAGAATCTAAAGAAACAGCATGAGGGCCAAACCTGGCTATATGAACTCATGCCAACATACCATTGGCTTGTCTGTTGGAAGCTAAAGAGCTCAAGAGCCAGGTTTGAAACCCAGAGCAAGCCCACTCATGATGGATTCGATGCCTTTCCCTGAAATGGGTTTGTGCTTGTTGAAGAGGGGGCGGGTGAGGTTTGGCATCTAGAAGACAGGCGTTGAAGGCAGGTGTTCTGTGGTCCTAGTCACAGCATTTCTAAGGAGTTGAACAGGTCTCAACCAGGGTAAAGGTTATGTCTGGGTTGTCACTTTGCCCAGGTTGGGGAGATGGGGCATGGGGAGATGGGGCAGGACCGAGCTTTTTCAGCGACCTGGGAAGGGGGGGTTGTTGCTAGGTAACAGTGGCTTCTTTCACTCTGACCCATGTTTGAGGTGGGCATCTTGGGTTTGTTCACTGTGTCTCCTTTCGGCCTTGGTCTCTCTTGTTATCTATTTCTTTGAAATCTGTGTGCAGTTCTCAATCCTCTGGCTCTTCTGAGCCTCCCCAGTCCTCTTCAGCAGAGGTCCCCTGCGTTGTTCAGCTGCCACACTCAGCAGTGACAAATCTCAAAGACTGGCTGGGCATCCGGAACACAAAAACCGCGAGTGACCACTTCGGCAAAGCCCTTGGACACTGTTCTACACTGCCCAGCTGCAAAAAAGCTTTTCCTTTTTAAATTATGTTTTTTCTTAATGTTCTTATATGATATGGGAACCTAGGAAAATACAGGTAATTGAGCTGTATTAAGGGTATGAAAGTAAACTAAGAAAATGTACAAAGAATTGTGAAGTTAATGGAGGAATGATGTTAGTTTTTCTAAACATTAGCAATAATTCTGGCTTTGTAATCATTTTGTAGTCATATTGTTAATTTTGTGAGTCAAGGAAACTATTAGTTTTGCCATGAGTATTGATTGTGACAAGCTTTTAATAGCATATTGAATTGCATAGTATCCATTTTTTCTATACTCGTTGAGCATTAGCTTCTATAGACATTATCCTGTAGATTCTCATGGCTTTTCAGTCTAATGAAAAGCAGTGGGTTTCATATTACTTTTGGGACTGGAAACCGCACAACACAGTAACTTCTTTGTTTGTATCTCAAAAAATTCTTCCAGAACACTAATTTCTGGGTCCATTGATGTTAAAGTATCAAAAAATACAAAGGTTGGAAATCTCCATGTTATGGAGACAGAAGATATGAGGAAACCAGCTATAACTATTTACTCTTCTCACCATCTACTTTATCTTTTTAACTTGGGTAACACGTTTTTGTTTTTTTTTTTAAATGTGGGGATGGAAAGAATGGAGAATGGCAGAATAGGGGACAATTGTAATCTCTCTTTCCTAAGGGAACGCTTATAAATATTTCTCTGGAAGTGACAGTAACTTAGGATCACAGTGACCTGTATTCAAGACATGAAAAAGGATGCCCTGCTCTAAGGAGGACAAACATGCCCAAGGGGCAGAGGACCAGATATATGTCCTGTCCTGTAAATCGAGGCTTAAGGACCCCATGTGTCCATACACATCCATTAGCCAGTCAAAGGAAGCAGGGCTTCCTCAGGGTACATGGTCTCCGATTCCAGCCATTGTCAAGGCCACGGCTGCTTCTGAGATCCCCTGCCAGGTTATGGCTCACCCCCATCCTCCATTCGTGACCATAGTTCTTTCCAACCCAACCAATGTTGGGCAGATGGTCTTTTTCTTTGGGTGTCAGGGTACCGGACTAAGTCCTTAGTGACTGAGGTGGAAAGTTATTTAGTATACACAGTAATCACTGTGCTATATCCCTGTCCCAAACCAAGGCACCTATCTCTCTGTGCACTCCCTGTAAATAGGGAATTGCTTGCCTTCCTACGGCAGCTTTTTCATGGTTTACGAGCCAGCCTTCAGAATTTAAGCCTGATCTCGAGTGCTCCAAAGCCATCTTCTCTGGTAGCCTCATAATTACTTTGCAAATAGGACCCCTGGGATTCTTCTGGGGTCACCCCAAAATTATAGATTTACGGTAGAGGTGTAGATTAGCTTTTGGCAAACAGACTATTGATGGCCTTGAACTTTGCTAAGTCAATGGGCACATTGACTTAAAAACAAACACATACAAACACATCATTCATCTGTTGCTGGACATGGAGGTTGTTTCCACATCTTGGCTCTGGGGAACAGTGTTGCAATGAGCATAAGGGTGCTAATATCTCTCTGAGAGTTTGATTTGAATTCCTTTGGACAAATAACCCAAAGTGGGAATTCCAGATCATGTGACAGTTCTATTTTTAAGTTTTTGAGATACCCTCTTACTCTTTTTTATAGCAGTTGCACAGTTTTGAATTCCCTTCTAGAGCGAATAGTGTTTCCAATTTCTCCATATCCCAGAAAAGTGGTATATAGGTGCAACAGAATACTATCTAGCCTGAATAACAGAAGGAAATTCTGCAACAGGTAACAACATGGCTGACCCTGGAGGACATAGACTAAGGACACAAGTTGGTCACGGAAAAAAAAATACTACATGGTTCCACTTATACGAAGTATCAAAATCAATTAGATCGAGCAAGATAAGCTCTACAGTTCTCTATAGCTTTGTAACTACAACAGTGTATTGTAGCCCTAAAAACATGTTAAGAGAGTAGATGTCATGTTAAGTGTTCTTACCACAAAAATATTTAAAAATAAAAAAATTAACACACCATAGTTTCTGTGATCTTGAAGTTGGTAAAAGATTTTTGCCTGTTTAATTAAAATAAGTGCAGGCTCTGAAGGAGAAAATTATGTGCTCAAATTCTCTACAGAGAATGTCTCTGTTCTCTGTGGGTTTAATTTGGACCCAAATGTTATTGAACTTAATTGTCAAGAAGAGCTGAGTTTCAGGAGACATTAGCCATTCACTTCACAAGTCACACCTGCCAGTTGGCATTTTGGAGACTAACCAGTTGCAGCTGTGTCTTGAGACTTTTTGAAAAACATGTACACCAAATAGGTTTTGAACAATTGTCTGAGAACTTCTTGTTTGTACAAGTGACTAAGTGCCCTTCATTTTCCAATCTCTGAAATGGGGATAATGATGAAACCACACTTGTAAAATCCTTTTGAGCTCCATAGATGAAAGGCCCTGAGTGAGTATAAAGTATTGTTATTAAAATAATAGAATCTCTAATTAAAAGGAATAGGCCGTGTAGAGCTCCTTATAAATTCACTAATCAGTGGTCTTTAAGCTTATTTAGTCTAATAGCCTTCGGAGGTTGAGCTGATGTAGTTCGTGCAGGAAAGTGCATTGCTTGGTTGCTCTCGGCTTCCTTCTATTTTTATCCCAGTCCTTAGTAGGTAGCAGACTTTGTCCTTTTAAATTAAATTTTGGCTCAGGGACATCCTCAGTGGTAGATAGATTGGTATTTAGGTGTCCTTTACTTTTCACTCTTTCTCCATTTCTAAAATAGCTCTCATTTTTTTTTTGCTGCTATCGGTAGATGAAGGGGAAAAATGAACTCATGTTAAATTGATGTAAGTAAGTAGTAGGAAATCTAAGTTAAAGAAATAAACATTTCGGGTGCTAGGGTTTTACATTGCTACACTTTTCAGTTGTCTGCAGCATTTTAACACATTTTTTTTAGACCAGGTTTAGAAGTCAAAAAATAAAAACGATCCTCAGAGTTTCAGAGTATTTTCTCTGAGACATGGTAAAAAATGAATTTTTTAATTTAATGCATTTCTGGGTCATAGGTGAGTTCAAATCCAGACAAATGCCTTCTTCTTTCACTGCTTCTACATTGCTTTTCAGGGGCGACTCTGGCTTTGTGAAAAGAGACGTTTTTGTTCACCATAATTGTGAAGCGTCCCTGGTCTTCTGAGTCAGAATTAATCATTTTGCCTTTTGTCGTCCATGGTGCTTGGCTGACTCCTCTGTTTTCACTTTCCCACTGTTAGACGTGCATTGCTATTTCACGGTGCACATACCTTTCACCTGTGCCAGGCGAAGGCCCCGTGCATCATTTATTTCTGTGTCCCTTGGTGCCCAATGCCTTTTATTCAATTATTCATGCATTTCTTCATCACAAACCCAACCAGTGTTCATTTAGGCCCGATTATATCAGGCCTTCAACCTACATCGAGGAAAAAAAAACTTCAACGATTTTTAATGAGTTGACAGTAGAGTGGGTGAGTAAGATAGGTATTAAAACAAACACTTATATGATGCTACTTGATAAGTGGTAGCTAGTAACACTAGTGATAATAACAATACGGAGCTTCCTATTTACCACTGTTCTAAAGGCTCTAATATATCAACATGCCTGTGCTCTGCAAGAACATTATGTACTTGAGCTCGGATCCCAGTGAGACAGTTTCTGAGAGTGGAAGTCCCCAGTTACGAAGTGCGGCACTTTGTGAATGTGCAGAAAGTCATGGGAGCATGGAGGGAGGCATGCTTGACTCTGCACTTCAGGTAGCAGGTCTTTATACATTACTCGTTGAGTAAATGGTTGAGGGAGATACTCATTGATTGGTAATTTTGTTTCAAGCAACCAAAAACAATTGTGTGGGAGAAAGTGCAGGCACCCGAAAACTCATGATGAATTGCTCAGTTTCAACCATGAGACCCCAACATTCAAAGACAAGTTTTATGTCTTTACATGTAGAATTGTATTGAACTTATTACTATAAAATTTAGGTGTGCTATTTCTTAGTATTTTGAAGGACAGAATTCCTTTCTCACCACAGAGCTGTGAGTATATGTTCCTCTCATCATCTGGCTGGAGGTGAATAGCTGGGGGTTTGAGTGTTGAGCATTCTTCAGATGCATTTTATTCAATCAGTCCTAAATAAATACTTTATTCCTATAAGAGCTGCCAGAATAAGTGATAGATTTTAACCAAAGTTGTTTGAAAAGTAGTTATTACACAGGTTCCAGTCAAAATGGTGATGTAGCTTCCTGTGGTACTCAAATCCTCCCACGACCACATCAAAATTACTTATAGCGAAACTACAGAACAGCCATCATTCAGAATTGCTGGAAATTTAGCTGAACAGAGGTGCTACAACTAAGGATATAGAGGAGAAGCCACATTGAGACTTTGCCACATCTGCGAAGATGCAGAGTGGGCTGGTCCCACATCCAGGTGTGATGAAGTGTTATCTTAGGTGTGAGGATCCTTCTGAGGAGCAAGGGGTCTCAGCCCCACATCAGGCCTCCCAGCCCAGGGCCCCAGTGCCAGGAAGAGAGATTCCCATAACTCCTGGCTGTAAAAAACCCATGGTGATTGTGCCTAAGTGTGGCAGAGGCTCTGGCAGTCCCAGGCATTCTTTTTCAGAGGCCTGCATAGGACTTGCTTGGACTCACTTGCTCTGAGTTCCAGCACTTGGGCAGCAACTCAAAAGGTGCCAGGGACATCTCAGGGAGAACGGAATGGTCTGGCATTAGGACATGAGCTGCAGGGGCAGCTTCCTCCCAGACAGAGGTGCTGGTGGAGGCCATTGTTCCTTCGCCGAGTCTTCCCCGACAGAGCTGGCAGGCGGGCGCCGAATCCGAGTCTCCAACAATCTGGTCCCCATTGCTCGCCCTGCGCTGGTGATTTTCTGAAGCCTCATCCCATCCAACTCGCATCCCCCTCCCTGCCAAGCTGTTTGTCTTTTCTGTAGGAATGGCCTGTCCTGTTCCAGACTTTCCTAAAATCTCTCAAATAAGCAGCATCTGGCCAATGTGTTCCTCTTACAGTTGTCAGAACACAAAACACAGAGTTTGTTCTTGAATTGATTATTGTATCATTTTCCATATGAACAACCGTAAACCTCCTTCTGCCCCATCCTGAATTTGTGTGTGACAAAGAGCGTAGAACACAAATGACCAATTACTCTGGGAAAATTCTTCCTACTGATGACATTTTTAAGGACATTTTCTTTACCTATCAAAAAGTCCTTTGGGCCAATAGAAGAATTGGCACATACTATTTATCAAATCTGCTTACAAAGCCAGCTTTTCTTTCTAGCCCACAAGGACAGGGAGAGAAAAAACAAGAAGAAAATTTATGTTTCTTGAATTGTCTACTACATGCTTTCCACTCCTTTTTTTTAAAAATTAAAAATATAGTTATAGTTGACATACTTCTTTCTTTTTAACTTTTTAGAAAATTCCAACTCAATTGGGGTATAATTGACAAATAAAATTGTAAGATATTTAAAGTGTACATTGTGGTGATTTGGCTTCATATTTCTTTCATTTATTCGACACATATTCATTTTGTACAAGGCCAACCACAGACCTCAGCAGCGGGATAACCATCTTGCCGTTGCCTGTAGCTGAGACAAGTAGAACTTTCTGGCCGGTGTGATAGACACGATGAAAGGGGAATGGGAGGGACTAGCGGAGCACCCGAGCATCTGCCCTGGTCAGTGCAGAATCAAGGAGGACCCTGTGGAGGACCCATCCTGTAGTCTAAAGGAGTAGGTCCCCCAGGCAACCACAGAAGGGAGAGCAAGTAAAAAGGTCTGGGAGCATGAGATGGGGGAGGAGGAGCAGGTGAGCCTGGGCGCTGGTCGCCCAGGCGAAATGCTTCACATAACCCCTCCCATCCCCTGGGAGGTAAGTATTATTGTCCCTTTTTGTTCCCACATTTTGTTCCAAAAATATTCAAATGTTTACTCTCTAACTTATCACTATCTAAAGAATGAGGTGCTGGCCATAACGAAAGCACTACTCATCACTAAGAAGGGAGAGGTCAAGAGCAAGATAAAATAATTTAAGCTTCAGTGTGTATCAGAAGGTGCTCAGTGCTTGGGATGACCAGTCCTCACTCCTTGGGCTGACAGAGGGCAGGCATTTGTGCGTCCACAGGGAAGCCGCTGTGATTTGCACTTCCTGACGCTGAGGTAGCTCATTCACCCTGACCACCTGCCAGCCTCCATTGATTTTGTCTTAACTCTGTCTCCTTTGAGAAATAAACCAGCTAGCTTAGCATTAGATTTCACCTAAATTCTTGGAAGTCAGTTTATTTATTTCGGTTTCACCTTTAGCTTGGCGTATATCCTCTCCTTCTCTATCTACATCAGGGTCAATGTTTCCGTGTACGCCACAGGACAGCAGGGCCCAGTGGTGGATGTAAGAGCTGCTACTTGGTCCCAGGGAGGGGCGTGGAGGGGACACAGGAAGTGACAACCTGTGTGACCCGTGAAAAGATGGAGCGTATAGAAAACAATGTAGGATTTAGTTTGCTAGGGCTTACCTGAACAAAGTGCCATAGACTGCGTGACACACTGAAATTCATTCTCTCACTGTTCTGGAGGCCTCAAGTCCAAGATAAAGGTGTTCGCAGGTTTGGCTGCCTTCTTCCTGTGTCTTCACTGTCCGTGTAACTATCTGTGTCCGACTTTCCTCTTCTTATAAGGACACCAGTCATACTAGAGCAGGGGCTACCCCAATGGCCTCCCTTAACTTAATTACCTCTTTAAAGTCCCTGCCTCCAAATACAGTCACATCCTGAGGAACTGGGGTTGGGACTTCACCGTACTAATTTAAACAGGATGTACTTCACATCCTGTTTACTTTGCGGGAAAAATTTCTAGGGAACTCTCTAGTGTTCAGTTTCACTTTGAGATACAAACATTTTGAGAGCGTAAGGAAAGGGAATTGGCTTTTATTTAAAGATTTTATTTATTTTCAGAGAGAAGGGAAGAGAGGGGGAGAAACATCAATGTGAGAGAGAAACATCAGTGTGTGGTTGCCTCTCGAGTGCCCCCAACCAGTGACCTGGCCAGCAACCCAGGCACATGCCCTGACTAGGAATCAAACCAGTGACCTTTCGGTTTGGTTCACAGGCCAGTGCTCAGTCCACTGAACCACACCAGCCAGGGCAGAAATGGGCTTTCTTTTCCTTCTTGTAAGCATCTTCATCATTCTCTTCCATTCTGCCCCGAAGTTCAAATTCAGGAATTTCTTTCAAACCACATCAACTTACTTCTTCCATCTCCCATCCACCCCAATACTCTAGGAAACTTTGCTGGCTATAACTGTGGGGACTGCAAGTTTGGCTGGACTGGCCCCAGCTGTGACCGGAAGAAGCCACTGGTTGTGCGGCAGAACATTCACTCTCTGACGCCCCAGGAGAGGGAGCAGTTCTTGGGTGCCTTGGACCTGGCGAAGAACACCACGCACCCCGACTACGTGATCACCACGCAACACTGGCTGGACCTGCTCGGGCCCAACGGGACACAGCCACAGGTCACCAACTGCAGCATTTACAACTTCTTTGTGTGGCTCCATTATTATTCTGTTAGAGATACGTTATTAGGTGGGTTCCCCCCCCTCAGATTAACATATATTATTATAGGTCTCGGTTTGGGGTGGGTGGGTAAGATAACTTCAGGCGAGTTAATTAACTAGAGCACAGACGGAAGGAAGGGTTAGGTTTGCAAAAGTTGGAAAATTGTCACAGGCTGCCTGAGGACAGGCAGGAGCAGCTCCTTCCTGCACACAAGTTGCAGACGTTCGAAAGTGTGCTCCAGTTCCAAGTCTAACTGTTCTCCACAAAGCCGTTACTTCTCCAAGGTGAGAGGAGGTGAAGCGGGAGAAAAGTCTTTTTGATTCCATGAGGATACATTTCTAAATCTGGCTGCATCAGCCCTTGTGGACCTTCTCTTCAAATAAGAGGAATTAGCTGAACGTGTGCTAAAGCACAGTCACTTTTCTTTGGGCAGAACTGGAGGACGCTGGAACTATCTCCTTAAACTCACAAGTGTTAGTCTTTGGATGTTGGGGGCATCATCGGTGACACCGGGTGTCCCTGGGCCCCCTGTGGATTTCCTGGGGTTGCCTTGTCAAGAAAAAGCATGAGCCTAGCCCAGCAACCGAGTACTCCTTCTGGCGTAGTGCTCTGGCCACAGTGGTATTGGGTGCTTGAGAAATTGGTGTCTCACCCTCCTGGATTCTAAAATTGGAGTGGGTGGCAGGGGGCGGGGCAGGGTTATCTGTTAGGAACTTCATTCATCCAGGAGGTTCAAGTTCACCTTCGGTCCTTGTTCAATCAGGTGAAAGCCATAAACACTAAGTGGTCCCAGGAAGGCTTGAGTCCATTCCAGCCTCTGCTCAGTGCAATGCTGAACCCTTGGCTACACCTTCAGGGACCTCCACTTTGGGGTCCCCTCCCTGCGGCAGGATGGATGAGGACCCCAAGCCCAGTTTGCATAGTCCCATCCTCATTTGGAACCGTCCGTCTCTGTGTTTGTCACCGGTTCCTCGCCACTTGATTTTCCCTTGTTTTTTTTTAATTTGAATTCGAATTTATGTTTTTGAATTTAAAGAAAGTTTCAGTTACAGCAGACACACAATATTATTGTCCCTCATCATTTTGTGTTGTGAACCTTCAACTTTGTTCTGGATTAGAACCTTTTAAAAGGACAGCATGGCCAACAGCAGCAACGACAGTCCTTCCAGTGTCTTTTAAACGCCTGCCTCGCAGGCAAGCCTCTGTCTTTCTTCATCAATAGATAAGGATGCTCTTCTGCCTGTCAAACCTTTATAGCTTTCCCGTGGTGACTCCGAGGAATTTTTATTTTATGAGAGGCTAGGGTCTCAAGAGGAAAAGAAAACTAGAGTTTCTGGTTGTACCTAGAAATTAAATTTATGCTCATGTCTGCTCAGCTCTCAGAATTATTACAGGTACTTTGAAAGAGAGCTGAAGTTAGCTGAAGTTTCTACATAACCATCAAAGGCGGTTATGAAGAGAGGAAGAAGGATGGAATGGGCAGTAGTGAGGTCATTCAATTGCCCATAGCTTTTCAGAACAATTGGCAGTTCCAGTGGCCAGCCAAATTGGTTGGAAGGCATTTTTCTCTCTCCTCGTCTCGGCGACCATGCTTGTCCGCTGGTAGTTGTAACTGATTGATGGGCCAAGGCAAAGTCCATGGGAGTTCTTTCTGGTTTCGTAAATGCCACGTTACACAAAGTGCAGTAGAGGTTGCTTTATTTTAATTCATCCCTTCTTTATAAATATATGCATTTGTAAAAAATCAGCTAGTACCTTTTTTAATGTATATATTTTTAATGTTTTATTTATTTATTTTTAGAGATGGGAAGGGAGGGAGAAAGAGAAAGAGAAAAACATTAATGTGTGGTTGCTTCTCATGTGGCCCCTACTGGGGACCTGGCCTGTAATCCAGGCATGTGCCCTGACTGGGAATCGGACCTGCGACCCTTTGGTTCACAGCCCATGCTCAATCCACTGAGCTATGCCAGCCAGGGCTAGTAAATACCTTTTAAAACTATATTTCATTTATACTAAGTGATCTATTTCTTGGGATACTCTGATTTCATCTTAATGACGGATCACTTAAAGTTAAATACATGATGTGGGCTCTTAGAGCTGAGAGTGACCTGAATTTCTCTGGACCTCTGTTGTCAGTCAAACTTTCAAGAAATGAGCAGAATTTATCCCAGAAGTGCTAGTTGCTTCCAAAAATTGTTTTGCTGTCGATGTTGTTGCTTTCAGAAAGATAAATGACAAAAATGATTCTTTTGGACTAAAACACTGGATTTATAGGCTTTGCAGGCACATCCTAGGGGTTTTTTTTTTAAACCTCTATCCTGTGATTTCTAATTAGTTTCCCAACATTTCAGGACCAGGGCATCCGTTCAAGGCCGCGGACTTCTCGCACCAAGGACCCGCCTTTGTCACCTGGCACCGGTACCATTTGTTGTGGTTGGAAAGAGAGCTCCAGGTTGGTAAACACTCTACCTTTGGTTCTTTAAATGTTGCCCTACATTTGGCGAAGACCCTTATTCGCCTTTGCATCACATGCTTTCTTGTCGCACCTGACAGCATGAATTAAATGACCAGACAAGCCCTTTGCTTTTAGAGACTTACTGGCAATGAGTCCTTTGCTTTGCCCTACTGGAACTTTGCCACCGGGAGGAACGAGTGTGATGTGTGTACAGACCAACTGCTTGGGGCAGCAAGAGAAGATGATCCGACTCTGATTAGTCAGAACTCAAGGTTCTCCAGCTGGGAAATCGTCTGCAATAGGTAATCACCTCTGATCTGGGGTGGAAACCAGAAACTGTGTTTTCATATGGCTGAAAATGGGGATTCACTTTATATTTCTGCCTCTAACGCATGTTGGCTTCTGTTTACCGGTTTCTGAAAACGACTTTCCTGAGGGAGGTGGGGTATTTAAAAATTCTAAGCACTGTCATTAAAAACAGAGGTCTGAAAATCACATTTATGAATTGAACATGATGGGCCATCATTTTGAGATCCATTATTTTAGCAACAGTCGTGTTCCAAGCATCGTAATAGTACTGAGAATGTAAGGATGAATAAAGTATAGCTTCCCTTTTGAATATCGCTTTATATTACAAAGGTGGATAGCTTGTAAACAAATCATCATACAACGTGGGAAGTATCATAATAGACGTGTGTGCAAAGCCAAGGAGAGAGGCAGGGAAAGGCTCTAAGGAGTGGAGATGATTATTTTGAGACTGGAGGGAGACGCAGCCCTCAACCAGGTAGGGAAAGGTGGTGAGTGTGTCTGAGGTAGTGAGAATATCATGTATGGAGCTAGGAGAGTCTCGGCAAGCAGGCTTGTATGGCTGGACCACAGGGTGCTGGGAGTCCAGAGCGGCAGGTGGAGGATGAGCTCTGGTACTGAGTCACACAGAGATGAGCAGCCACCGCCCGTGAAGAAGCCTGTCCTCAGTGAGTCCTTGGACTCATGTCTCTCAGAAAAAGACTCCCCAGGAGGACTTTTTTTATTCGTTTCTTCCAAAATCCCATTTTTAACCCTGCTGATCTAGCTCCCCTGGCTAGGGTCTTTTGGCTGTTTCAGCGCACAGAACTTTACTGCCCACGCCGCCATGGCCGGGCATGTGTGTGTTTTCAGAGGTCTAAGTCTGGCAAGTGGGGGTCCCATCTTCCACACCCTCAGCTTTCCCTGCAGCCCTTGGGACAGCGCTCCACGCCACAGAGGGGCGTAACAGATGCTTTTTATGTGGCTTAGCATCATTTCATAAAGCACTGCTTCTCATAGCGCCAATAGGTGGTATATGGAAAAGAGATTTTGATAAATTCAGGCAATGCCGAATAAAAGACTTTAAAAAAAATTTCAGAATGATTCAGAGCATTTCTTATGTAAGTGTGTTATTGCTCTTCAGAAGGGGCCTAAACTCACTTGACCCGGGCACCCTCATTGCCTGGGTCTTCCCCCAGGGACACACTGGGGAAATGCTGTGTTGGGGGGTTGGGTTTTTTTTTTGCCTAGTTTTAGGTACTGGCTTCTTCTCATCCTCACATGCGCTGATTCTATTCTCACGTCCCTGGTACTTCCCCCTCACCCATTAAAACCCACACGGAAACAGCTTTACCATTTTCTCTCTGTTGATGAAATAACATTCTGAGGGGGGGATTTCAGACTGCAACAGGTACGCAGAAGAGAATCCCTGGGGGCACGGGACTTTCTCAGCCACCGTGTCTATGACACAAGCAGCCCCTTGGGTGCAGAACATTTTCTATCACAGTGTCTGTCCTGAGACCTCCCTTCGATACTGTTTCACCTGTTCTCACTCTGACCAGCTCCATTTGCCTTCCGTTCCCCTAAAAGGCTTTCCTAGCATTGCAGAGGCCCCTCTGCCCCAAATGGCTTAGTGCAGTACAGCTCACCACAGTACTGGTCACCCCCCTCCCTTCAGTTACTCAAGATTCGGTGCACAGAGTGGGGATCACCATCGTGGCTATAAACCCTCCTCCTGTCTTTCCAGGGGAATGGTAATTATCATGCATATTTATTCCTGTATCATTTCTTGCATCTATGTTTGTGAAAGGAATCCAAAATTACTTTTGGAGGTAGTATGTTCACCACACAGTTCTGACCCCTGTAAGGTGACTGGAAGACATTTTAATGTGTGACTCTGGATGGTTTGCTTGGCCCACGGTGACGATGCTGTCTGCACACTAAAACACCTCCTTCTTCCCCCCCTGGCGAATCCTAGCTTGGATGAGTACAACCAGCAGGTCACTCTGTGTAATGGAAGCCGTGAAGGGCTGTTGAGAAGAAATCCAGTGGGGAGAAATGGAGAGAAATTGCCGTCCTTCAAAGACGTCCAAGATTGCCTGTCTCTCAAGACATTTGACAATCCTCCTTTCTTCCAGAACTCTACCTTCAGCTTCAGGTAGGCACTCCGAGCTCTCAGACTGACTCTTCACAGCGCTGGTGGGTTTTCGTGCCTGTGGCTGGACTGAGCCAAAAGGAAATCAGGTGATAGGAGGCAGTCAGGAAGCTAAGTAGTGGAGGAGCGCGTGATAGGAGGGCATGACCTGGGATCAGTCTTAGGAAAGCCATCATCCACCCACTGTCATTCATAGTGTTGTTTTAATGGCTTAGCTATTTAAAACCATTTTTTAAATTTCTAATTTTTGTATATAAATAGGTACAGCCTTCAGAACCAGAGTACTTCATTAACATATAGTATTTTAAAAATATTTGCTTATGCTCTTTCTTTTACTTTCCTGGTTTTTAAAAATAACTCGCTTCTGCCCTGGCTGGTGTAGCTCAGTGGATTGAGTGTGGGCCTGCGAACCAAAGGAGCACAGTTTGATTCTCAGTCAGGGCACATGCCTGGGTTGCAGGCCAGTGCCCAGAAGGGGATGCATGAGGGGCAACCATACATTGATGTTTCTCTCCCTTTCTCCTTCCCTTCCCCTCTAAAGATAAATAAATAAAATCTCTTAAAAAATTCTCTTCCATAGACCCTAATATCAGGGTCTGATATCTTGGAGGAATATCACAGACTTAACACAACTCAAATGACAACACAGCTTTACCATGCTTGAAATGTAAAGGCCAGCTAATAATTCTTTCCCTCTAAAACATAAGAAATACATATGTGTCTAGACAAGATTTTAAACTAAGATGAATGGGACACCAAAAAGAAGTGGTGGAGAGATTGATATTCTCCTCCCAGACTGGGTCTTCTCTCTGCCACCTGAGTGTGAGTCACATAACTGAGGGTTCTCCAGGGCTGGGGCAAGGTGGGCTGCCCTGACAGGCAGAGGCTGGGCTAAGTGAGGCAGGTCTCAGGGTCTGGGTCGGGCTGGTTCAGCCCTCAGGGCGGCTGTTGCTGACATACTGCTTTCTCTCAGGAACACCCTGGAGGGGTTCGACAAAGCAAACCGGACCCTGGACTCTCACGTAATGGGCCTCCATAATTTGGTCCATGCCTTCCTGAACGGAACAAGTGCTTTCCCGCACTCTGCCGCCAATGATCCCATCTTTGTGGTACGTCCAAAGCCTCGGAATAGAGAAAACGTTTCCTGGAAATCATGTAGGATTTACTTGCTTTTCAATAACATTGAAGTTTGGTCTGTGTTTGATTCTGTGAGCGATGGGATATATGCCTATATAAATTAATCTGAACCTTCACCACCGGGGCGCTTAGATAGCATTTGAGGTCCCCTTATCAGAAACACAAGCTTTGGAGATGGTTAGCTTTGGAATGATGCTAGAGAGGAGTTTACAAACTAGAGGCAAAGCCATAAATTAATGTAATGCTATTATAAATTATAGAATAATTTAGCATAATTTATAGCATAAGTTAGCATAACGAGACATGCTTTTTCATTGGTGAAAACAGCAGTGCTGAGGATAGATGGGGAGTTAGGAGGACTCCACCGGCTGCTGGCTGCTGCACGGACCCCAGACCCGGCACCGTTGAAGCAGCACACTAAGCCCAAGGCTCTGCTGGGTGTGTGGTCCTGGCCACCTCACTTCACAACGGGTTCTGGCGGAAATCCAGTTGCTCCCGCTGTCAGAATATCATGTGTCTGCTTTGTAGTGGAACTTCCACGCAGAACACCCGCGAGAGGAGCGTGCGGACTTCCGTGGGTGTACAAGTACAGGTTCTTTCACTTCTTCAGTGTCTACTTGCTAATAAGTGTCTATAGGTACACTAGAATTTGTCCCTGTACTTTCTTTCATTGTTACACACCCCCTAGCAGCAAATCTACTTGAAATGCGGAGAGACACATGGCCACTACAGACCCCAAGTCGCCGGGAGCTTCCAAACAACCTGGGAGAGCTGAATGGGCAAATTGGGCTGAGTCAGCTTGCAAACTTGAAGGTGTATTCTTTGGTCCTGTTGTTACCCAACAAGAACTGAGCCCAGAGCAGGTCTGCCTCTGGCTGGCCTAGAGTGTGTGGGTTCTTGACTTTGTGCCGGAAAGAGTTCACAACATGAGTGCAGGTGATTTTGAGAGTACACTTTTTAAAGCCGGGGCCAGTGGAACGAGGGAGGGCTTAGGCTAGAAGAAGCAACGGGAGAGCCTGGGTAGGACTGCTTTGACTCCCTGGAAAGTCAGAGGAACAGGGGCCTTGGAGACAGGCTCAGGGGCGTAGCCCGGCACTAGCGGCCACTGCCCAGTGCTCCATTGGTTGCAAGTCTTGTGGGAACTTTAGAGTTAAGGAGAGAAAAGTAAAGACACACACCTGAAAGGGAAGAAAGTCGTGGGCATGCTCTTTGGAAGAAGAGCGTGCCCTGGGTTCTTTGTCTTGAGGGTTTTAAAGGTTGGGAGTTTAGCGGAGGTCTTAGGGGAAGATTGTAAGAGAATGTTCATCAGTTTAAGCAAAAGTACCAAAATGGGATTTATTCCCTTAAATCTCATCCGTCCTTGGGTGTGGCTGGCACAAACGGCACTAAGTGGATTTCTGCTATCTGTCTCCTTGAGTAGGGTGATTGAAGCTACTTACACTCTGGTTAGAGGGAAGAAGCACAAATCGTACACTCGTAGGTGTCCTCGGTTAGGGAAGAAGGGATTTTGCGATTTAGTAGATGGCTGTAAACTGCTTGGCCTTTTAACTACCTGCCTCAGTTTCCCTCTTCCACTTGTCCTGGCTTACTGGCCTGTCTTTGTATGTTTTGGATAGATGATTTCAGAGCAATTGCAAGGAGGAATTTCACCAGTGGTCCTCTTTTATTTTGCCAGTATTTTTAGTTTATATTCTTACCCAGCTGAGATTGTAGTATAGCAAACGAACACTAGATGCTTCCTTCCCTCCACCCCGAATTTTCCTCGCCTTCAGCTTACTCTTAGCAATGTGTTTTGGTCTGCTTAGATGCCGTAGCAGACACGGATGGGGTGGCTTAAACAACTGAAATTCATCTCTCCCAGTTGTGGAGACTGGGACATCCAAGGTCAAGGTGCTGGCTTACTGCGTTGCTGGCGAAAGACCTCTGCTTTCTTGCTGTGTCCTTTCCTGGCAAAAAGAGAGAGGGAGTGAGCTCCTAGTGTGTTCTTATACGAACACTACTGTATTTTGCTGTGTATAATAAATACCCACATTTTTGGCCCAAACTTTCAGGAAAAAAAATCCTTCATTTTAATTTTTTAATTCAATTATTTACTTTTTTATATTGAGATACCTATTGATTGTATTATAAAGGAATTTTAGCATTTATTTTTGAACATATTATGGTACAAGAAATTTTATATAACAAACAATTACAAGCCACAAGAATGATACAAGGTATTTCAAGTACCACCCATGTATACGGCACATTCTTATGTTTCCCTGAAAAATTTGGGCAAAAAAAGTGTGCGTTATACAAGGCAAAATACGGTAATTCTATCATGTCGGAGGCTCACCTTGAAGACATCATTTAACCTTAATTGCCTCCTGATGGGCTCTCTCTCCAACCTTGGGGAGAGCCACCTTGGGGATGAAAGCCTCAACAGATGAATTTGGGTTGTGGAGTGGGGTCACAATTCAGTCCCTCACACTCTGCATCCTGAAACCACCAGTTTATTTTTCTGGGTCAAATCTGCCTTGTGCAGTCCGGGAGCCGGACCGATGGGCAGCCTCTGTTTGCCCCCTGCGAAGTGCCAGTCACAGGCCTGCCCCACTGCTGGGGAAAACCGCAGCGCTCAACAAAATAACCAACGATCAATCAGGCTCCTACAAAACTCGTCTCAAAACTGTCAAGTACACCGCAAATGTCATCACAAAAACATCAGTGTGTTTTATAGTAGCTGGTGGGAAAGAATCAGAGAATTGCGTGCTGCCCTTGAATTTGCAAACCTTAATTAAGGTTCATCTTGTTCTCCAGAGCAGACAGACAGTGGTGCCTTAAGGCAATTTACTGACAAGCACAAAGTCAGAGCTATTTCAAAGATGATTATTATTCTTACCCCCTCCATATGAATTTAGGCATAATTTTAAAAAAGAAATACAAAAGACATGGCTTTTTTCTCTCCCCAAGAGAGAAGAGTTAAAAACAAATCTATTTAATTTATATTCCTTTAAAAAGTCTTAATTAAACTAATACTTTGAGTAATAACAAAAATACTGTAAATTATAAATTTTAATGGTTTAATGGTTTTTAATGGTTTATAATTGCAAAAATATTGTCCTACAGATTTAAAAATGTCCATAAGTTCATCTCAATTTTTCTGCTTATTTCTTTTTATATTCTTTTATGTTTATACAGTTGCAATTCTAATGTACACACCCTTAGGTTATTATATAGTTTCTTAAATTTTTAAATTTTAAATCTGAAAATACAAAATGCATATACCTGGCTCCCACGTAAAGGGCACAAAATGAAGGACCTAGGGAAGTGTTGTTTTGTTAGATCAAAACTTTCTATTTTGTTCATAGAAATTAACAAAAAATGGTGAAGAGTGAGTTTGAATGATTTTGCTTGTCTTTTAAAAGGATAGGGCAGCAGTTTTATGATAATTAAGTGTGAGGGGGACCCAGAAAGACTTGGAATTTATTTATTAAAAATTGCGTATTCATGCTCACATGTTTAAATTTCACTCGTCTTCAAAGTTCTCTCCATTGGATGCAATGCACTTATCAAGACATTTTTTTCACTGCTCAAAACAGTTTTTGAACTTGTTGATTTTGATGCCTTTTAGTGCTTCTGCTGTTTTTTGTTTCACCTTTTACACATCTGCAAAACGTTTTCCTTTGAAGAGTTTTTTTCATCTGGGAAACAACAAAAAGTTTCCTCAGGTGAAATCAGGTGAATGGGGAGCCTGGGGTCTGGGAGGGAGGGCATGTTTGGTCAAAAACTGCTGAACACTCAGCCCGATGTGGGCAGGTGCGCTTGTAAATCACCCCTCTTGAAATGGATGAATGCATTGAAAGAGTCTTTTAAAAAAATTTCACTGAGGCAGAACCAACACCAGCTGGAACACTAATCACTAATACACGTGGGTGCCCAGAACACTCACCTAGCGGGGGAAGCCTGTACTACAAGGGCCCCGCCTGCTAGAAGATAATTCTGTTTTGTTTTTTGGTTTCCCCTTAGTTTTTCAAATGCTGCATTTACATATTAAATATATGTGCTTTAAAATAACTGAGATGTACAGTCACCAACTCATAAGTAGGGGTGACGACCCTTCTCGAAGATGACCCTTCCTGAACTCTTCCTTGTGAGATACATCGATCACTTGCCTTATCAAGTATCCTTCCGCAGTTGACACTTTTGAACAAACTATGCCTTTGTTCCTTTGGAGCTTAAATTTTGTTACTCAAAGCCGAGACTTTGAAATGCAAAAATCTTTTCTCTCTCTAAAATGCCAGGCCTTATCGTTTGGTGTTTCGGTTTTTCAGAATACGGTCTCTGCCATAAACTTTAAAAATCCTTTCAGCACAAAACTTGCCTTCGGTAAATCACTTGACTCCTGTTTCTATCCTGAATGTAGCCATTTGAGACAAAATACAGGGAAGAAGCTCCCTGTGTTTCCTGAACAGGGGCAACTAAACTGCAAGGCACCTCAGGCAAGATATGAAAACGTTATCTACTAAATAAACAGCAGTGAGTAAACTGGAAGGACAATGCAATTGAAAGGGTTAAGAAGAGCAAAGAGCAAAGGATTCAGACGGAGGCCGATCAGCAAAGACGTGCCAGGACAGGGACGTTAAGTTCGTTTGTCCTTGAATGACACCAATGCCAGAAAGCAGAAGGATGACTCTGCAGACTGAGCACCCTGCACCAACTAGCAAGGTGCCTATTTGGCCGAATTGTACAAAAAATGTAATTACTTCCCACAGCGCTATCATTAGCCGACAGATTCTTGTTAAGCATCAACTCTGTCCAGGTTGGGTCTGAGCTTGAAGCCTCAATGGTGAAAAGACCTTATGTCTGATGTTTAGGAGTTAGGGGTCTTGTTAGGGGACAAAGATAAATAAATAACAAGTTAGAGTATAATTAAACCAGGGCTAGATTTGGGGTATAAATAATAGTGGTGAATGGATGAATAAATTTATTAATAAGCATTTATTGAAATAAGTACAATGCTCCCATATAACTGGCCCTGGGTTGACAGGCACTGGGGACCCAGGGGCAAAGAAAAGTGGAGAATGCCTCTGAGCTCCTTGAACTTGCAGCCTAGGAATAAAAGAACTCTAATGGCCAGGCACAAACCCTGAGCTGAAAGCACATTTATGTCCTGTTGTCAAATCAGGGTTATTCATGCGGACATTTTCGTGTGACTATTGCAAAGCATGTTCAAATTGCTGTACTTCAGGATTTTAACAGCTTCCTTGAGGAAGTTACAATGAGCACTGTGCACCTCCCAACATTTTTAGACTTTCTTTTCCTGGTATAACAATGGAAATTCATATGAGAGTGTTATAAAATGAGTACACAGAAAGGTACTCCGGTGAGAAGAATTCATAAACTTATTTTGGATATATATTTTTAAACTGTACATTTATATTACAGTACTCATAGACACAACCTTTTCTTTCTCTCTTGTTAAAGCAAAAGCACCTGAAAATGGACTAGAATATGTACCTCATCATCCTTGCCTTTTTTTCTGAACTTAATAACTAACCTACAGTGTTGAAAGCCCCCCAGGTTGTCACACCCATGTTAAATCTGCAACAGAGCTTTCATCTGTTCACCTGACAGAGGGCTTTCTCATCCTCTTTGGAGAGACATGCCACGTGTTCTTGGCAACTTAACTAAAACTGCCTGTAGGTATGTCACCAAGACTAGATTGGGTACAAGGGAGCTGCTCATGTCAAGAAGAACCCCATTACATATTAGAGAAGGCTCCAATCGGATTGATCTAATGAAATAGTCTGATGAATGTTAGATGTCGAGCTCAACTGTCTTGCAGGTCCTCCATGCCTTTACTGATGCCATTTTTGATGAGTGGATGAGAAGATTTAATCCTGCAGATGCTTGGCCTTGGGAGCTGGCACCCATCGGTCACAATCGGATGTACAACATGGTTCCTTTCTTTCCTCCCGTGACTAATGAGGAATTCTTTTCAACCGCAGACCAACTTGGCTACAGTTATGCCGTTGACATGCCAGGTAACTAATACAACGTCTAAGTGGGAGATTCATTCATCTTTGGAAGGACCTTCCTTCCTTCCTTCCTTCCTTCCTTCCTTCCTTCCTTCCTTCCTTCCTTCCTTCCTTCCTTCCTCCATTCCCCCCTCCCTGCCTCCCCCCTCCCTATCTCCCACCCTCTCTCTCTCCCCCTCCCTTCTCTCTCTTTCTCTCACTCTTTCTTTCTTAATAGAAACCAAGACCTTAAGTTGAAGCATTCAGGTCTCGTTAAGTCTATGGGCAATTGTCTAGGATACATGTATTTAGTAAAATGAGCCTTTAACGTACTAATTAAACATAGGAAAAGGGACCGGTTGGATGGTCGTTGGTTTAGAAAACTGAAAGTTGTTAAGAGATTTTATTCCACAGAGGAAGTATTTGACCCTACCCTTGATTTGACAATTTTGTCTGAATCAGTCAAAAGCTGGCCACAGTTGGAAATACCTAACCAGTCAAATCAAAACACACTAGGAACCTGTGGACAGGAACTTTCAGGAGATCGGTACTTGAAGGCTGGGCTGGGCTTAGGGTCAGGCAAGCGCAGCACTTGCCTGAAGCACAAAGTTCAAGGGGAGGCCAAAAAGTTTAATAATCTAGATAAGTCGTAACATAATGCAATATTAAAAAAGAATACTAATGCAAAAAATCTTTGATCATTTATTAAAATTTTGAGTAGAGACAAGCTGTTGTTGTTTGTTTTATGCCCCTGCATTATTTTCTAACTAGACTGTTTTTCCCCATTATCCCCTATCACCTGTGCTGGGTGAGCCCGTGAGCCTGGCGATTGCCTGCTAACAGATTGAGCCACACGGGTCTTCACGTGTCTGTTTTTTTAAATTAATGTTTTTAAGCCACGTTTTCCCATTGTAGGTTGTTTATTAACTTTTCCCACTTGGTTCAAATTATGGGAGAATATTTTGATAAGTTCATCTAGGAGCACACATATCTTTTTGTTTGAGTGGGCCCCCATATAGCTCCATGTGCCATTTAAAGAATCTTTGTTTGCAGTGTATACAAAACAGCGAATCATTATGGTATACATCTGAAACTAGTAGTGTTGGATGTCAATTATACCTCACTAAAAAAAGAATCTTAGAGCAGATTGAGAAAGAAAAGGTAAAACAATAAAAATACCTTAATATGTCAAGAAGTCGAAAAACGCACAGCCCCAGTGCTGGTGGCTTTCCCCCATTTGTGTCTATTTCATCTTTGCTAAATCTCAGCCTCAGTGTCATCAGGACCACCTCTGACACCACATCGGTCTCCTTGGCTTAGTCTTTCAGGCCCTGGAGTCTGTCCTCTGCTTTTCCTTGTAGCCCTGCCTCTACTGCTGCTTGTTCTACTTACTGATTGAAAATTTCACTTCCTTGAGCAGCTGAGGATATCTCTCTGAAGCTCTTCTCTGGGACTGAACATACCAATAACCAAAACAATTGCAATGTGCACGCTTTGCCCGTGTTCCCATCGCCTCTGAAATCAGCCAATGAATAGGTATAGCCTGGGTGTCTAAACAAGCCCCGAATGCATTAACTCACTAGAAGATACAAATTTACATTCATTCCTGCTCATGACAAATAAGCTTCCAGCCTTATCTGTAACCAAATGTTGAAGAAGAGAGTGAGGTGTTTGGGAAAGGGGATGGGTCGTGAACTGAGAGACCAAAGAGAGTGGATCTTAGGTCACTGGGGAGGAGAGAAGGCAGAGCTTTATATGAAAAAAGGACAGGAAGCAGGACCGTGAAAGGCGCGGGGAGTCTGCAGAGAGCACCGTGTGGGAAGGAAGCCCTGTGATATGCAGCAGAAGGCTTAGGTAGGAGGTAATTGTTCATTAAAATAGGACCTGTGGTGTACACCTGACACTTGTATATTTCATTAACCAGCGTCACCCGAATAAATTTCATAAAAAAGAAGAAAAAGAGTATTAAATAGTTTTAAAAAATCAAATAAAGTTGGATCTGTGAGAAGGACCAAGTTACCTAGGACTTCAAAGCTGGGCAGAAACCACAATTAGATGCCACTTTGTATTTGTCAGGATGGTTACTACCCCAAACAGCAGAAAATAACAAGTGTTGACGAGGATGTGGAGAAATTGGGAGCCTTGTGCACTGCTTGTAGAAACGTAAAACGGCACAGCCTCTGGGCAAAACAATATGGCGGTTCCTCAAAAAATTCAACGTAGCATCGCCACAGGATCCTGAAAATCAGCTTCTGGGTATTTATCCCAATGAGCCGAAAGCAAGGACTCAAGTGGGTATTTGCGCACCTCTGTTCACAGCAGCTTTATGCACAATAGATGTCAGGTGGGAGCAGCCCCAGTGCTACCTGACGGACGGACGGATAAATAAAATGTGGTAGACCACCCGATGCAGTAGTGTTCAGACTTAAAAAAGAAGGAAATGCTGTCACGTGCTGCAACGGGAATGAACCTTGAAGACAGTAAGCCAAGTTAAATAAACCAACCACAAAAGGCAAAAACTGTATGACTCCTCTTATACAAGGTGTCAAGAGTAGCACAATTCATAGAGACAGAAAGCAGAATGGTGGTCACCAGGTCTGGGGGGGATGGGAGATGGGCGAGTTATCACTCCCGTTTTGCAAGATGAAGAAAGTTCTGCGGAAGGATGGCAGTAATAAATGCGCAGCAATGTGAATGTACTTAATGCCGCAGAACTATATACTCAAAAATGGCTATGGTGGTAAAATCTATGTTATGTGTATTTTACCACGATTAAAAAATAATAATTAAAATAAGCTAGGCAGGGGAATTTGGACCATAAAAACATCACTCATTTGGGGTTCCTGAGCAAAGAACTGCAGAATCAAAATATTTGTTTTAAGAAGCTGAGGCTGGCAGCAGATGCTGCTGGATTATAGCCAAAGGAAACAAATTAAAACCCTCTTGGGGGAATCCCTTCAGGATGGGCCAGAGCCCCCTGTGAGGCTGAAGGAAAAGAAGTAGCAGAAGAATCTACATTTAGATAAGTGTAGGGTGTAGAACAAGAACCCAGCACGGAGAAACTGAATTTGAGAAAAGCTGTCCAAGGGTAAGATAATTTTTAAAGAGATGATGGGTAGGCATACATGTACTAGAAACGAAGTCCATTAATTTTGTGGAGGAGTGCTAATAAAATATATTGGAGTAGAGAATGGGATTTGTCATGCGGGAGACTCAGATTTTATTCACAGCTACGTAAATCCGCATGCATTTCATCTGTTCCTGCAGTTGAACAGATGACAAAGGTCTCCTGTTATAACAACCTATTTGATTTGTTTTATACATTTACCGTCCTACAAAAAAGATGGAGACAATGGCAGAATTTCTTCACCTGAGGGTTGTGGTCCCCCAGATAGCATTTTAGCACACAGTTTTACAAATGAGTTTCCAACTCACAAAAGGAGTGATATACCCTTCCTGGGAGGGTTTATTCTGTGTAAGTATTTACTATAAGAAAAATTTAAGCTGCAGTGGGCTGCATTTAAATCATGGAATTTCGTTTCCCATTTCCTCAAGAAAAACAATCGTGGATATGATCAACAGTTGGCGAAGAAGGTAAATTTTATTCTAGCCTGTGGAGTTTTGCTCTATCAACAAAATGCATGTAGAAGGCAGATTGGTTTACTTTTTTTTTCATTTGTGAAGAGTATTCAGCTGATAAAAATCCCAATAATCACAGACCCTTTTCTCCTACTTCAGTTTCAGAGGAAGAAACTCCAAGTGGGACCACAACTTTGTTTGTGGCTATAGGAGTGCTGGTGGCCTTGGTCGGCCTGTTAGTGCTGCTGGCTTCCCTCCAGTACAGACAGCTTCGGAAAGGATACACGCCCTTAATGGAGGCACAGTTCAACAACAAGAGATACACAGAAGAAGCTTAGGGTGCTTGCCCTGGGGAAGAGGCCAACCAAGCTGTAGTTGGCACCCTTTCAATGAACAAACTAATCCTCACTGTTCTTCCTTTAGCTGAAGGTCTTGGGCACAGCTCATTCTGTTGGGGTGATGACCCCAAACACAGAAGATGCTTGGCTGTAGTTTGTAGGTTTGTATATGTGCGTATAACAAATTCCAGCTGCAGGCTGAGGCTGGGCTATCTCTCCTGTCCAACAAGGTAGACTAGAAGAGTAAGTGGTGTTTCATAATTCCCCATATTGATTAAGGTGCCTTGTGTTATGAGAATATAAATGAAAAGCTGACAGTGCACATTCATTGTAGTTTGCAGGTTCGTGTAATGTGTGACTTGGACAAGATTAGGGTTCAGTTTTGCTCAGCCCGAATGTCTCCATTTGTAATGGGGTGGCTGTGGCGGGTAGCAGTAGTCTCTGAACTCCCTTTTAGTGAAATACCTGTGCTTTCAGGTGCCTTTCTGATGGTCTTCTTGAGCCTTGCTTTTCTTCTTCAGCCTTAAAAATGGCCATTAGGGTAAAAATAAGCCTTATTTTGCAAGTAGGATGGGGAATGAATGAATGAATGCTCAATTCATTCCTCTTTCATAAATTAGGCATTGAGGAATTTATTCAAAGTCTGAAATTCTTAACGGGAGCCATACCACAAGACACAATAGCTGGATAAGCATGAATCCTATAGTGATAAATAATTAGATAAGGGATTAAATGATAGGGCTGTCTAGTTAGTTAATGTACAGTTTCAAACCTATGGCCCAATACGGAATCCCTCTTTCTGGGAATGGCTGACTGGAGATGGCCGATGAGGACACAATCCTGAACATGAGACGATTTGATAAGCGTCCCTTTGCTTTGCGGTCCCATTTGATTGATCCTGAACCAGTTCCTTTAGTAGGTAGCCTCAGGTGAAACATTATTCACATACAATGCATTTGGCTTATTTTTAAGGGTTGACTTTTGATTCATTAATGCTTCACTGTACTCTGACAGTTACTTATGAACGCTGATCAGTTGTCTTATTATTTAAGAGCCAACCATGTATACAAAACATAACAATTCAGAATTAGATGGTTATGTTACATTAAGTAATCATCAGATCATGAGAGAGAAGAATCTTTACTAAGAGGCTTAAACTTAGCAATATGATCCCTACTTCTGAGGAGGTAACCATTGCTGAGATTTGAAGGCAAACTTCATCTGCTCACATCCGGCCCCTGTGCATGCATCAGCGGGGAGGGAAAAGTTCTATAAGGTGGCCTGTCTGTCTGCTCATTGCAACCTCTCTCTATGGAATGCATGTGTGTAAAGAATGCGTGTGAGGAGGATCCTGCAACTGCCTTCTACCTACGGAGGCTTGGAGGGTTCAAGATTCACCAACCCCGGTGTCGTCTCCTGAAATAAAACAGAGGAATGGATCAAGCTCAATCTGAACTGAGTATGAGTCTCACAAAGCTACAGGTGTATTGGAGAGTAGGCTCAGTAGATAAAAACCTAGATAGCACAGAGTCCTTCGTGGGGTGAAGCCCAGCTGCGAGGTTCTTAGGCGCAGCCACAGCTCAATTCCTGTCTTGAATGGCACACATGGGAAATTCAAAAATGCTTCATCACCATGCTTCCCTGTGGACAGTGGACGCTCTCAGCCCAGGGTTGTTGCAGAACACATTTCTGCATCCAGTTTTTAACCCAAACGAGGTCTATATTAAAATGAAGGTAAAGTTGTGCATGGTAGGTGTGTTCCTGAGAAGTTGTGTATCAATCCATCATACGTTAATAGCACCAGGGGAAATTAGTTTTTGAAGATGAACTATTATGCATAATTCTACAGGGCAGATAACCACCTCTAGCTTATCTTTCAGGTATCTCAGAATTTTCATATATCATAGTCTCATAACATTTGCTTAAAGCAAGATCTATCTGAGGTAGAAATAAAGAACAGTCATTTATACTTTGCTACTTTTATCTATAGTGCTTGAAACTTATTTTAAATATTGTATTTTATAATGTCTTTCTGAAAGAAGTAATTCCTAAATTTTATAGTTCATATAAGAGGAATAAAATGTTCTAATATTACAATAAATCAGTGACGAATGCCTTTTAACTAATTCAAAGGTAGAACAAACCTGCAGAATAAAAAAGTTGGTATTTACCTACATTGAATATTATGCAAGTAAACTGAGAAAATATCACTGAGCATTTTAGAACTACACTTCTCACTGACAGGGAAAAAATTCAACCTTGAATAAAATGAATACATATGCTAAATCTTTATATACTAAATCATCGGTACTAGAAAAATTATATATAGCACTAAACAGTGTGGCTCAGTTGGTTGGAGCATCATCCTGTAGGCCAAATGGTCATGGGTTCAATTCCCAGTCAGGGCACATACCTAGGTCATGGATTTGGTCCCTGGTTCAGGTGTATGGGAGAAAACGAACGATTGATGTTTCTTCTCTCACATTGATGCTTCTCTCTCTCCCCCTCCCTATTTTTCTAAAAAGCAATGGAAAATGTCTTTGGGTGAGGGTTAAAAAAAGAAAATAAGTGTCGTGAGTTTGGGAAGGTTAGTCTAAAAAAAAAGAAAAAAAGGCAAAAAATTATATGTCCATGAATTATTATTGCCCAAGAAATGTTTTTATAAATCTAACACACAGAGGTGAAATGAAATCTAATAACACCTTTTCTTTGTGAACCGAGTTCTTTTCTAATTCTAAAATTGTTTGACATTAATTTGTGTCTTGCTTAGAATCTAACATTGTTAATTATAATAATACTAAATGAATAATTTTAATCTCACATTAACAAGAAGTAGAAAACTTACTGAAGAGGAAAATAAAACTGTTGTTTTGCAGATTATTGGTCATCTGTTGCAGGCTATTTTCTTTTAATTTTGGAGCATCTGTATACCTATCTATCTATCAACATAAGTATATATAATACATAACCACTTCACTTTTGACAATAAATATAAAATATACAATAGCTACTTCACTTTGGAAAATCAGTTCTCAAACTGATGTTTCTACTTGTGAGTTCTAAGCAGTTCCTACTACCTGGTTCTCTATTACATAGGTAAGAAAAACGACACATCGTCCTTTTCCCAGGAGAACAGTCCCTCTTGACGTCCTTCCCCACAGGGGAAAGACTGAGGCCAGGGTAGGGGTGTAGTAGACTGGCTACTTAAAGTTGCTGACCGGGAAGGAGAGGGGCTCACAGCAGCTAACTCCCTGACCCTCCTGGGAAGCTTTCCTGGTCAGTCAATTTGCTGGACATGCAGAAGAAGCACGTTAGAACCAATGAGGTAATAGCTATGTCCTGTTTGTTTATACGTCTAGACTTGAGGCCCCAGAGGCTGGGATGTACACCTCTCTGCACAGCTCCAATGCCATGATACCAAGCACCTGCGGTACTCAGAGAATGTTGCCGGTTCATTGACACAGGCCTGTTAAAGAATCAGTTCACCCCGTGCGGGGAGATAATTCCCTTCCTCAATGCAGTTGCAGAACCCAGTGTGTAACTCTCCCATTTCTACAATGCCTTGCTCATCCGAACACTCTGTTAATATTTTTGAATGAATAAATTAATCTCAAAGTAGAACTTGAACTATAGAATAACCTGTATTTCAGTTTCTGAGTTGGGTGTATGGGAAGTGGAATTACTTCAGGCAACCTAGTGTAGGGGTACACTTTTTCGGCTATATTTTCTTCTTGGGTGTATCTTTTCCCCACCACTGGTTAGGTCTTAATTCTACCGTTGTTAGGGACAAGGATAGGAAGTTAAGAGCCCACAGTGTCATTTCAGGGACCTCCACCGCCTGATATCTTAACAGCCTTGTCTCAGCGGAAGGAAGTGAGTGGGAAAATTATTTAGCCAGGCAAACCTTTCTTACTGGTTTCTTTCATGGGCCCAAGAGTTTCTTTCAAAATTCTCCAAAGATGATATACTTGGGCTTTAGCTGTTATGACAGTTCAAGTTGAAAATCGATCTGGTGAATTAATTATGCTTTGCAGGTAGTTTAAAGAAATCTTGAAAACAACATAAGAAAATTGGGAGTGATTGGATAAGTTAAAGTTTTCTAAAAGTAAACAAGCCAAACTAAAGCCCAGGGTTCCTGTCTGAGGCTGGTGCATTCTGTATATTTTCACCAAGACTATAGCTGTTTGGCAGAAATCGTCAACCCACTTGTGTTATTTGCCCCCTTGATTCAAGTTAAACTTCTTGGATATAATATGACCGAGTTTGGTCCTTTCTTCTCCTGCCCACTCTCTGCTCCCTCAGAGGTTTATAAACATGAAGCTAGAACTACCCCAGTGTCTCCCAAATATAATTGTTCTCTGTGTTGTAAATACTGCCTTGTAGAAAGGCTTAAACTTGTTCTTCCTTATTAAAGTACCAGAGATTTCTGCCAGAGTACACACTCTGATTACTCACTCACGGTGTATGTTGCTGAGCCTTTCTGAATGTGTAATTAGGCCAACGACTTTCCTGATTAACAGTGCAGCTGAACTGGGTTTACAACAAAGCAAAACCTGCCCTCTTGTGTTTTATTAGAACATTGCACCGTGTGGTCAAGTATTTAGGGCTCCTTTTCAGTACTGTGGTTAATTGCCTGGGCCAGAGAAAAAACCCAAATGTTGGAAGACTTGCCATGAATTCAGAAATCAGAACAGATAAAGCATAAGACTTAGAAGGAAATGGTTTCCTGTGCAGGCAAGGCAATCTGATAATGAAGGCCCTTCGAATTTCCTTTTAAATATATTTTGACAGGGTCAATGTCAAAAAACTGGGGGGGGGGGCAGGTGGGGAAACTTGGGTAGTCTTACCCAAGACTTATCTTTTATATTTGTCAAATACACTCAAGGTGTAATTTAGTTAAATAGCATTTATATGATCACACTGCAGCTGGAGACTGGGGAGTTTTGGTTTGTTTTTTAATTAAAAAACTGTTGAGAAGCTGGTAAATTTTGAAAAATTTTTAGGAAAAATACTGGATCAGTGAATTGAAACCAGATAGAAATACCTGAACATGGGCATGGGGGTGAGCGGGGTCAGGTAGCGTGCTTCACTGTGCGAAATCCATTTTGCACCATTGGACTACCAGCCTGATGGTGCCAAGAGCGATGATGTACTTGGGTGCCCACATCACTTATATCGGGTGATTGAAAAGGGGGCTCGAATGTTAAAGAAAACATGGTATCTGGTACTTCCGGTCAAGTTTTTTCATCTAGTACATACACCCAAGTAAACATTAAAGGGAAAGGCAGGGTCAGGGCATCTGTTTGCCTATTCTAAGAGGCTTTGCTTAAGTGAGAGAATTGGGGGTCCAATTTTCTAGCTCCCTCTTCCTATTATTCTCTTTTTCTGGTGGTTCTCTGTCAATGGGGATTCCGAACATGGAGACAGTGGCTGTTATTATGGGGAAGAAAAAAAGGGGGAAAAACAAACCCCCAAACGAAAAAACTGAAATGGGGGAGTCAGATCCAAAACACTTAGAGTACTATCAGAAGAAGCAGTCTGGGTTGGGGGAGAATCACTCATTTACTCCCCGCTGATACATGTGTTACTATATGGAATGCTTTGCTGAAAACTTCATTTCCAAGGCAGCATAATTATTATTTGTTTCTACTTAACCTCTCATCTTCAATATGTTTGTTTCTTTAGAAAGCAAGTTTTGTTCTGACCACTAACTGATGTTTTTTCCTTCTTAAAAAATACGTGTATTTGCCCTGGCTGGTGTGGCTCAGTGGATTGAGGGCTGGTCTGAGAATCCAAAAGGTCGCCAGTTCAATTCCCAAACAGGGCACATGCTTGGGTTGTGGGCCAGGTCCCCAGTAGGGGGCGCATGAGAAGCAACCACACATTGATGTTTCTCTTCCCCTCTTCCTCCCTCCATCTCCCTGTCTCTAAAAGGAAATAAATCACAGCTTTTTTAAAAAAGGTACGTGTATTTTCAAGGAGGCATGCTCAGCTAAAGTGCACGGGTCGCTGCTTTAAGTCACAGACCTCTGTATGGAAGTCGATGACTATCCAGGGAACCTCTTTCTCCCCGCCAGGTGTGGCAAGAGAACAGCTCCCAACACTTTCATTTCTGAGCTCACTTTCCTTTCACTCAGGCCTTTTACAATTCTGAGGCTTGTAATATTTTACAGACTCAAGGTCGTTTTGTTTCTTTCTGTTCATTTCTCCCCACAGCGACGTCCTCTTATCAAGGCGCAGACTTCTTTGTGTTTTGAACAGGTTTCCTTGCGACGGCCCTGACGCTGTGATCCGAAGCTGACTCTCAGCCGCAGGCAGTCGGCGAGGGAACGGCGCTCCGGTGCGCCCCGGGTGCGCGGCGCTGTCTGCCTGCACTTGGCAGCGTCATCGGGCCTCTCCAGCAATCAAAGGGCTCTTTCAAGGCAGGAACATGCAAATTTGTTCCTTTTCTGCTTCAGTCTGTCACGGCCCACATTTTCCAGCTTAGCTGCGCAAGGGCACACATGATAAAATCATTCTGAAGTTGACGCAGGGCGCCATGCATGCAAATGTATTGTTTTCCAACAACAGTTACTCGCAACAAGTGAGTGCGAGCTACTCACCTTGCAGCTAGATGGCTGCCTTGGACCTCGTTCATCGCCTGCTAGAGAGACGGTGTAACCCAGCGGCTTTGGTCCCAGAGCACGGGGCTCACCTTCCTAGTAGTTGTCGGAAGGCAGGACTCCCTGTCCCCTGAAAGATTTTACTGCGATTTCTCGATTTGTGCGCCTACCTGAACGTAGTCACAGGGGAAAACGGAGGTGCCATAGCTCAAGTTCCGCTTCCAGCCCTCCCCCGCTAGAGCATGGTCCTTCCTCTCTGTGCATTAAAAATGCCACTAGAGAACATTCGTTACAAAGCACCCCCCCCATTTAAACCACCAGTGAGTGATTTGACCTTAATGATCGTCCTGTGTGAAATCTCTGGCGGTCTGAGAGAAGGGTGCTCAGTTTCCCTGAATAACCTTGTGGTTCCTGAGCCCGGTCACAAGTCAGTGTTCAATACAATCAGAACTGTCGTTCTCTTGGCACGTGACAGGTGCTTTTTCGGTCCGTTGGTCCACCGGTTCAGGAATTAGGGAGGGCTCCCAAGGGGACTTTTCAATGGCAAAGGGGCGCTTTGAGGATACAATACTGGCCTCAGTTGACATGGAAGTGAAATGTGTTCACAAGTTTTTTTTTACTTTACTTTTTAAATTTATTTCTGTGGCAGGCATATAATTTAAAATTTGTCATTTTAAATGTACAGTTCAGTGGCATTAATTTCAGTCACAATGTTAAACACCATTGCCAACATTTATTTCCAGAACTTTTTCATCATTCCAAACAGAAACTCTATACTCATTAAATCATAATTCCTCGTCCTCCTCTCAGCCCCTTCACCTCTGAGGAGACCTGGGGAAGTCTCCCCCATTTCCATCTGTGATTTGGGTGAAGACCTGATTGTCTTATATCAAATACTGTCTTTCATACCCCTGGCTTCAGGGTTCTAGCCATGAATGGAAAACTGAAGGCCAAAACACTGGAAAAGGTTGTTTACTGAGGACTCTAGGGAAAAAAATGCCAAAAGACACATTCTCATCCCCAAAGGATGTGGGTTCAAGACAAGAGGTCTGGAGTCATGGCAGCCGTTTTGCCTCCTGAGAAAGAGTTTGAAACAAATAGGGGTACCCCCACCGTTTACAAAAATTCAGGTCAGTTTGAGTCGGGATTTATCTGACAATATTAAGATTCCTAGCTGATAACACTCATCATCAGGGAATTTAAAAAATAGGAAGCAGAGGAGCTGGTTTATTGATTAATGTCCAGACTCCGTAATCCACGCCTTC